ACTGGACTATGTGCACTTTGATACGGAAAGTACCATGTAAAGATTGGAAGCCAGTTCTCCTCACCCTCAGTCCAGTATTCTATGAAAACACTATTCTATGTGCATAATTTAATTCAGGAATATTTCCATCCTCTGTAGATCACAAGGAAAAAAACGTTAATAGAGAAATATGGTTTTATTGGGATTAAATATGTACACTGAGCTGAGGAAAACCAATATTTAAAAAGTTAGTAGTGGTGCAATTGCAGAGTTCCTCTTTGTTGTTTCCTTTTTTAAAAAATAAGGGAACCAAATAAGAAACAATAACATCAAGTACTTTTGATATCCAGAAGCAATTTACATGTGTCTTGTGGTTTCCTTAATGAATGTGTCTTACAAGAAATATCAAATATCTGCTGCTAGGTTATAATAAGGAGCTCTGGTAGCATAGTGCCTAAGGCACTTGACTGCTAACCAGAAGGCTGGCGGTTCAAACCCACCAACCACTCCTCGGAAGGAAGGTTGGGCAATCCTACTTCCGTAGTGATACTGCCTCGAAAACCCAAGGAGGGGTCGCTATGAGTCGGGGCCGACTTAACGGCAAACAACAGCAACAACAACAGGTTATAATAAACAATTCCCTGGCAAGCTGGTTATGCTTTGCCACAGTCATATTTTCCAGACCTTTCAAATTAGAATGCCTTGTTTCAGTTTTCATTTTCTTTCATTGGTATAATAACTGTAAATGTCTCCCTTTATGGGAAGACATTAGGGAAAAGGTTTTCCTGTGTCTGTCATAGGTTGCGCCATAGATTAGTCACAGTCACAAACATCAGCCAACAGTTTGGCAATTGATCATGGGTGTCTGAGCTATCGAGTGCTCAGAAATAAAAAGAAATAGTACATTTGGGTGGCTTTAACAAACAGAAATTTATTTTCTCACAGGTTAGGAGACTAGAGGTCTGAATTCAGGGTGCTGGCTCTAGGGGAAATCTTTCTTCTTTGTTGGCTCTGGAAGAAGGGCCTTGCTTCATTTGAGCTTCTGCTCCTTGGTAATCTTCTTGTGACTTGCCATCTCTCTTCCCCCATCTCTCTCTCTCTTGCTTGCTTGTTTAATCTCCTTTGTATCTCAAAAGAGATTAACTCAAAATACACCCTACACTAATCTTGTCTCATTAACATAACAAAGGCAACCCACTCCCAAATGGATTTTTAACAATAAACATATAGGTTAGGAGTTACAATACATACATATTTCTGGGTGACACAATTCAATCCATAGCAATAGGTTAGGAAATAAAAGTCACTTGACTTTCTGGCACACAACATCATCAACAACAATTCTACTTAAGGACCCCACATGCTTTGCATTCCTTTAGTCTAAATTCCAGAGTGGTGGGAAGAGTGTTCTTTCCTGACAATTGGCCCCAAAGATGTTCTTTCAGCAAGCTAGCTTGCTTCCTATAATTATTTACTTACTGGAATGTATCTCTGAAGAGAACACAGTCACGCAATGAATAAGCAAGCAATCTACTTTTTGAATGGGTGCTAAAGTGGTTTCAAAATTCTGCCCTACAATTTCTATAAACTCTCATTCTCAAGTTCCAAAATTTCAGTGTGGAAACCATGTATATACTACCTCTCAGATTGACATCCAGAAATGCGCCACAAAATAATTCTTTGTAATATCATGAGTGCGTGTGTGTGTTTCAAGGGGGGAGCAATTTCTCTTTATATGTAAAGAACACAAGGAAATGAGTTTAAGAGGCAAGGAGGGGTCAAGGTAGTTTATATTTGGTAACCAGATATAAGTAGAACAGAGAAACATAGAAATTTAGGCTCAGAAATTTGAATTTAACTTGTCTGGGAAATGACATGATACTGAGAAGGGCTGGTAGTAGCTTAAAAAGAGTAACAAAGGAAGGGAAATTTAAAATGTGTCATTGGAACACAAGAAAAGGACTGTTTCAAATGGTCATGAGGCTTTGGGGACCTTATTCTTTATAATGATCAAACAACTATTAAGGAAAAAATAAATACATATGCACTGTCCTGTAGAAATAGAAATTAAAAGCATTTGGTGGAAATAGGTACGCTTCAAGTAAGATGGAGGAATAGGCAGACAAGCGACACAGGCCCTCTTCAACAAAGAAAAGAAAAACCAATTGACAGAGATATAGAAGATAATCCTGGAGGCCTGAGTTTGAAAGGAACTATGCAGAAGTGAATTAGGCACCAACGAGTGGAAAAACCTGAATGAAATCAGTGAATACCGAGACAGCCAGAGCTGTGGACTGTCAGCTACTCTGACGTGACCAACAACCTGAATATTTCCAAGTTATTTTGGGACCTGAGAATTGACCTAAAGATCAGCCCTGGTCACCAAGGGCTGCAGGGACAACTGCACTGGTGGCCTATTACTAGGAAAGGAAACAGCAAGTTGGGAGACAACCTGAGCTATTGACTTTCTGCTGTCTGGAGAGCACAGCCATTTTGATTGTTTACATGAGGCAGCCATTTTAGATTTTAAAGTGATGGCATTCTCATTCGGATTCCACGGATCTAAGAAGAGGATCTGTTTGCCAAGTTTGGCAGGGACATACGAGAGGCTGACATCAGGAAAGGAGACATTTGGTGAATATATAAAAGCTGTCAACTAGTAAATAGAGGAGCACTGTACCCTGCTTGCACAAACAACATACAAACAAAACAAAGAAAATGAAAGTCATGGGCAAATCACTCCAACAAACAATGACCAATTAAGTATAAACAAAAACGTTACAATGCCTCCGAGACAACAGAGCATCACAGTCCACACAAAGAAGCAAGATAAAGCAGGAAAAACAAGGGACCAGGATACAGACCCAAAACATCCCTGAGGAAGATGCAGCATTGGACCTGCCTGACAAGGAATTCAAAAGAATAATATT